TTGAACCTCCAGCCTTCTGGTTAGCAGTCAAGTGCCTTAGGCACCATGCTACCAGAGCTCCTTTTATACAGATATATATATATGTTGTTATGTGCAATGTCAGACCTGACTCATAACGACCCCTCCTTGGGTTTCCGAGGCCGTATCACTACAGAAGTATATTGCACCATCTTCCTTCCAAGTATACACACACACACACATATATATGTATATGTGTATGTGTATATATATATATATATGCATATATATGTGTGTGTGTGTGTATATACCTATATTTGCTTACTGACCAATTAAAATCAAAGCCCTTACGGGCCAGAAGTATGTCCTCAGCTATCAGCTGAAACTGGAAACAAGAAGACATGTAGGTGTGATGTTAGCATAAACTAGCTTTGGGTACAAATGCTATTACATTAATCATGAAAGTTGGTGGAAATATGCCACCAGGACAGTTGTCTTGGGACAGATTCCAGAATCAGTAGCCAGAGGGACTCTGATCCATCCTAACCCTCAGATCCTGCTCCCCTCCCTAACTCAACCCACCAGTCTTCTTTTCTATTACAGGGAATTCTGTCTCAGAGGCCCTTCCTATCTCTCTTTGCAATTTAACTTCTCCTCACACCCTCTTCTACCAAGTTAGCTGGACAGTCAATTCCAATTATGGATATAGTTTGATTTATTTTCTCCTAAGAGGCTGCTCAGACTCATGCAAACTCAACAGTCTCAGTCTAGCCCATTACAAATTTCCTGCTATGAAACATTGGGGAAACCAAGGTGCTCACATCAATTTTTTCCCTGAATAAGTTTCTTAAAAGTGTATCATACTCTGGATCCAAAACAGTTTAGAGCAGAAATGCCCTGGGTAAAGCTCTTAGAGACAATTGTCCTTTGATCATTTCATCTTTTTGGGAGCTAGATGCCAAAGAAAGCAAGCCCAAGACAACACGGATTTCCTGAGTTCTATTCTATTCTAGCCAGGGGCTTTTCTCCCATAGGTTCCTCTCTGACCCTGCTTTTAAAAATCCTCCCTCACCAACTTCTTCCTGCCTTTGTTCCCTTGTTGTGTGTCCTTTGGGTTAGAGTTTTCTTTGTGTCATGTTGGTGTGCCTCACTTGCTGCTCTCATCTTCCTTGGGTCAAGGATGATATTTTTCTCTGCTTTAAAAGCAGAGTGGAAAAAATTCTATGATACATAGTGAATGATATACCATGAAGTTGTCTTCAAAGCCTTGCTACACATACAAAAAAGGTGCCCATATTAAGGTAAATACATATTTGGGATTCTTTAATACACACTGCTAAGCTCTGGTGGCTCAATGGCTAAGTGCTTGCCTACTAACTGAAAGGTCAGTAGTTCTAACCCACCAACCATCCTGCATGAGAAAGATGTGGCAGTCTGCTTCCATAAAGATCAAAGCCTTGGAAACCTAATGGGGCATTTCTACTCTGTCATTAGGGTCGCTATGAGTCAGAATCTACTCAACAGCAATTGGTTTGGTTTTTCAGAATGTACAATGCTACTGGGTATTCCTGGAAGCATTATAAGTCTATGTACAAATAAACAGCATATTTGAAGCTAGGTTGCTTTTACTATGGAGGAAGAACTACAGCCATGGGAATTAAGAAAGGTCTACTTACAGGAGGGCAGAGTCCCAAGAAAGCCACCAATGTTTCAGTTGAGATCATTGTTCCTCTGAGGGAGCCATGGGAAGGGGAATGGTCTGCACTGTGTTCTCCCTCAGAACTTCTTCCCCTCTGGTTCGGCTGTTCAATCTGTTGAGATAACTTGTTCACAGAAGATAGCAGAGGTTGCATGGGATGGGATTTCCCCAGATATAGACAAAGAGGCTAATGATGGGGATTGCTACAAAAAGTCTCACTTCCATCTAATGTCTGAGCAATAGTATTGGCAGGGGCTGCAGGACCAAACCAACCTTTGATAGTGTCCTCACATATCACTTGTACTACTCTGAGTTCCCAGAAAATGAAAACAAGGACAGGTTACTATCTGCCTGAGATTTTTAAAGATGTTAATGTTGAATTTTGAGTGAATTCCAACTCATAGCAACCTCCACTGGGTTTCCAAGGTCGTAAATCTTTACGGAAGTAGATTGCCCCATCTTCCTTCATGGAGGTAGCTCTATGTGTATCATTCTTATGGTGAAAAGGGAATATGAGGCATTCCCCAGGAATCATTCATTGTACATGCCCCTTAATACTCAATGAGGCAAACAGGATAAAAATTGACATCTTATTTTCCACGGTAATCAACTGAAAAGTTAGTCCTTATCTGTGACTCATCCACAAGTCTCAGTAACACTCCTGTGGAAATTGGGTACTCTGAGAAGGACCAGAGCACAGGGCTACCTAAAGAAATAATGGCTTCTTCATATCACAGAGGGGGGAACAAATGAGTGAATGAGTATAGTTTTCTAAAATTTGAATTTTATTCTCCTAAATATTAAATATTGACTATTACCAGTTTTTCCTGATCAGGCTGCTGAGTCAACTAAACATATGACAAGTAGCAAAAAATATTTGGAAAAAAAAAGGATGTTTTTGTTGCAAAAACTCAAGCCAACATTATGAATGAAGCAGAAAAGAAGAGAATTGTGTATAAGAATATACCAGTGGACCATGCCATGGACCCACAGGCAGAAAGGAACTAGGTCCCAGAGAAGGTCGGGTACTATCTCAGCCTCTCTCCACCCATCTTCATTCTTCTTCTTTTAACTGGCTTATTCTTCTTAGTCCACATGGTGGAATATGGGTGCCCAGTTCACCAATGTTTGCCTGTTAACTCCTACTAAATGAAGAGATCCTCTCTTACCGCCAGCCCCCAATACCCAGAAGAGAAAACTTCACTGGCCCAATAACTGTCAGAGTTTCACTCCTAGTCCAATAAGCCATATGCAGGGGGCTAGATCAGCCAGTACAAATATGGTCACCAGGGACTCATATTGCCCATCTTGTGACCTATGCATTAGGACAGGGCAGTTGCAAGAGAGGGAGATGGTGGTGAGATGGGTACACACCCAAAAGGAAGGGACTACATGGGGGATACAATGTGTCAGTTCTCCTTCTTACCACAAAAAGCTTCATGGATCCAAGGTGAACACCACTGAGATCCACTGGGGAAACACTGAAGAAGTCCTTTTATTTTTTCAATTCCTCTGGAAATATCTTACACATTTATATACATATATACACACACACACAACATATATATATATATATATATATGTATTGTTTTTGTTGTTATGTGCCATTCAGTCAGACCCAGCTCACAGCGACCCCTCTTTGGGATTCCAAGGCAGTATCACACAGAAGTAGATTGCCCAGCCTTCCTTCTGAGGAATAGCTGGTGGGTTTGAACCACCAGCCAGTCTTCTGGTTAGCAGTCAAGTGCCTTAGACACCACGCTACCAGAGCTAATATATATATATATATATATATATATATATATATATATATATATATACACATACACACACACATACTACACACACACACACATAAATGCTTAAGATATATATATATACACGCACACACACAAACTACTAGGGAAGAGAGGAAAACCTTTCACCACTAGCTCATTTAATCCTTTAAGATAATGTGATAGGCTCTGTTTTACAGGTGAGAACATTGAGGCTCAGAGAGGTTAAGTAGGTAAACAAAGGTCACCCAAGTAGTAAATGACAGAACAAAATTCAAACTGATGTCTGAGTCCAAAACCCCACTCATGCTCTGTGCTACTTCTGAAACAAACCCTGCCCAGAAATAGGTTTCCTCTGGTCAGCCAAACAGCATAAATTGGAGACAAGCCTTTTGCCTAGAAGCTGGCTGTCATTTTCTGTGGCCTAAGACTTCTCTGGGCCCTCAGTTTACCAAGCGTTGATGAAGCTATACCAGCATCCCTGGGTCAGAAAGGGCCAGTACTACACCCAGCCACACCAGCTCTAACACTCAGACCACCCTCCCCTCACAGAGGAACAATTCAACCCTGAGCCACTTGTAGATTGTATACTGTTCAAGTGCTACCGATGCCATTTTCCTGTTTGCGTTTTGTTTTTGTTTTTGTTTTGTTTTTACAGTTCGTTGCTCATCCTAACTGTCAGCAGCAATTGCTTACCATGTGGTATGAAAATCTCTCAGGCTTACGTCAACAGTCTATCGCTGTGAAATTCCTGGCTGTCTTTGGAGTCTCCATAGGCCTCCCTTTTCTCGCCATAGCCTATTGGATTGCTCCGTGCAGCAAGGTACAGACTGCTTAAGGTGCATGTCGCTTGTGGTTATTTCTTCTCTCTTCTTAGCATGACCCAAAGTCAATTTTATTCAAATCAGCATCTGATCTTTTCTCACATTTAAAGAAAATAGCCCTGAGATACTTTTCACTAAGTGGAAAACCACGTAAGAGAGAAAATACTAAGGCTCCATTTGGGTTTTTAATCAGCATTCAAAAAGAGATAAGAGATGGAATAGGAAATTTTAAACATGTAAGCCATAATCTAAAAGGATCAATAACAGAATAGAGAGGGAATAAAGGCACTTTTCCCTTTTAATTATGTAATGCCTTAAGCATGTCCTCCAGTAGTAATAATAATAATCACAATAATGGTAATAATAGCCAACATTTATTGAGTACTTTCTCTTCTCTAAGCCCTTTTCATGAAATATCTCACTTCACTCCCTCAATTAATTGCCTTGTGACATATATACCTCATATCAGACTCAGAGAAGAGAAGGAACTAACTGAAACATGAAACTCACTGCTGTCGAGCCTATTCGACTCATAGTGACCCCTCCTTGGGTTTCTGAGGCAGTATCTCTATGGAAGTAGATTGCCCAATCTTCCTTCCGAGGAGCAGCTGGTGGGTTTGAACTACCAGCCTTCTGGTTAGTAGTCAAATGCCTTAGACACTACACCACCAGAGCTCCCAAAGAAGGAACTAGTAGGTGGTAAAGCTGAGAATCAAATGTGTTCATGCTGGGCCACTGCAGAGCCATCTCATCATCTTCCTTGTTTCCCTGGCCTCCTTGACAAGCTTCCGGCCCACATGGATAGCAACTTACATTACAAGAAGAAGAAAGGCAAAGTAAAGAGAGGCAGAGCTCACAAGGATACAAGGAAGGGGGAGGGTCTGGTGACTGTGCTGATAAACGGAGGGGAACCTACAGGGGCTGAGTTGCCATGCTGCTTGCTCTATCAGCCCCACAGCCCAGCCATTCTGGCAAAAGCCACAGAAAACACCAGCAGTCACTCCAGCTTCAGGCAACAGTTAGCACCTATAAGACCAAACCAGAAATTTTGAAAATAATTGTTTCATGGGTTTAAGACTGTCATTAAAGGTTCCAAAGCTGTATTTACCTAGTGATAGACTGAAAAAGGAATTACGCTTAGGTAATCGATATTCAATAGAAGGAATATGACAGGAAGATTAGTTCCACAGGGAATTTGATCAACTAACACAATCAATAAAAGTGTTGTCAGTAAACCTACCCTCTTGTCAACTCCACTAAGAGGGAACTCATGCCAGAATTATGGGCCCTGACACTTCAGGGCAGCTGATGAAGCTACCTAACCAGGCAGGCAATGAACTGACTGACATAGAGGAGCAGAGTGTCATAGAGAAATGTCAGGACTCAAATTCCTTCCCTGTAGAATCGTATTTAAAAAAAAAAAAAAAAAGAAAGAAAAAGCCCTTAGGCTGAATATTTGGAGTGTTCAACCTTATATCTATTGAGGTGTTTGTTTCTATGATAGTTTATCATGTAGTGGATTTTCATATGCCAGTTTCTCAAATGATACATTTATAGGTGAAGGCAATTTTTTCCATCCTTCACTGTGAGCTGAAAAAAACATAATAAGTAAAAAAAAACTAACCAGATTTAAAGTTGAATTGGAGCTGGTCACGGGTTTGAGACACATATTTTGAGGCTGGTACTCTCTAGTCTGTTCTGCAAATTGAATCGTTACCCACAGCCTCAATGTTTGAGGAAGCTCCCCTCCATTCTTCCTGAACCCAAAATCTGTCCACCCATTAAAATAACAGCATTGTGGTGGACAAAATGCTGCCAATCCTTGAGTTTGCTTTAAAACAAAATGTGACAGTTTCCATGAATCTGGAACTAGCCAATACCAGTAAATTTTGTCCTGATTTGCCTCTGACTGCCTGGTGACCCAGGAAAATATTTAGAAGGAAATGCCATGCCAGATGCTAACTTGTTTTAATTTTTCATAGGTCTGAAAAGAAGAATCTTGACCAAAAATACACAGATCTAATTCAAAAAATAAATAAATAAGAAAATTCTGGATTTTGGGGAGTCTAGTAAATCCAGGGGTTATTGCTTCCATTGGACATACTTATCACACCTGTATCAGTCTTCTGGAATATTCTAATAGAAACAATTACAGGAGACTTTAGTCCTGTGGCCGGGTCTTTCTTTCATCTGTTCAGGTACATATGATTGACATTTGATGCTTCCTGAGATTCCAAAAAGACTGAAAAATAAAGCACTGATGATAAACATGAGCTAATTATTAAGCCACTTGCCATATCTTTGCACTTTCTGGGCTCCAAGTCTAAGCTTGATGCAGTTTAAGAAGCATTGCTAGCTGAGTGACAAGCCTTAGTCTGTGGCATGAGATGACTCCTGGCAATGCTGCTCATTACAAGGAAAGACTCCCTCATTAAACAGCTTGTCAGACTTGCTCTGAGGCAGCCAAAGGACAGATAAAACAGTCAAAGTATTTTTAGTCTTTCTTTTCACCATTTAGAATAAAATCTTTTCAAGTTTGACAAAGATATTACTGGGGATTACAGAGGGGTCAGATCTGCCATGTAAAGAAACCAGCCCTCTTGAAGGGTTCCCAATGCCCAGAATACAGTGTCCTCCCAGGAGGAGTGGAACAGTGAGAGATCTGTTAATGTGCAAGTGTCTCTCTTGCCAAGGGGCCACTACCTTTATATCTGTTTAGTAATTCCATGAAAATGCAAATATAATTTCAAGGTCTAATGGTATTACACTCCCCTCAAAAAGAAAAAATAGATCTTGATATTCTTTTAATAAATCTGTTCATAAAATGTCACTGCTAAACCTCATTAACTGGCTAATATCCAACAACATTTAGCAAATGTTGAGATTTCTGTTCCCAACTTAATGGTGCATTTACTTCCTAGTCACTGCTGTCCTAATTCCAGGACTATAAGGAAGACCAAAATTACTTGATTAGCTTGCCAAAATGACCTCATCAGTTCTTTCCCATAGAATTCCCAAGGCTGTTGATTCTATTTTTACACTCTTTTAACTTTTGAGGGTCCCTAAGAAAGACAGTTAAATAAAGAGATCATAAGGTTAAGGGTATCAACAGGAGCTCAACTTACTAATATTGTTTAAAAACGTAACCATGTCACAGATGTGTTCATATGGTGATAACCACAGACTGGGAGCATGGAACAAATCTGTCAGGGTCAATAAGAAAAACAGGAATTTTGTTTTTCAGTTCTCGTTGTTATCACCAACATAGTTGAGGTCAGCTAGCCCCTTTCTCATTGTTATCACCAACATAGTTGAGGTCAGCTAGCCCCCTAAGAGGCTGGTGAATTCTTATCTGCATGGATGCTCTCACTTAGGTCTTTAGTAGAGAGTTCTTTTTCCTCTCTACAAGATCTCCAGTGCCAAAGGGCCTTTTTGGCTGATTAGGCTGTTTCCATCCTTTGCTATTCCATCCTCATTCACAATTTAGATTGCTGGACTGTGGCCATCTAAGAGCTGAAAAAAATAACAAATCTCCCTCAAGAGTTCAAACAGTGCCTCCATAGCAGGTGGGCTGGACAGAAGTCAACATGATGAAAATGTTAAGGAACTGCACAAGCTCCAATTATGTGTGAGAAAAGAACCTGACTTCCTCCATTACCTGTTGAACTTTGCAGCTTAATTATCCTTATAAATTTAGTCCCAGGACTCAGGCAAGGAGAGTTGTTAACAACTTTAGAATCCTACCCAATGGTTTTGAAGTGTGCAATCTATCAGTCCTTACTGCCACATAACTCTTACTTTTAAAAATATCAAAGTACTAGTCATCAACCCCTTCCTTCCAAACAAAAACAAGTAGTGAGAAAGTAATGACTCTGTAGCTTTTGAAGACCTCTGCTCTGCCTTCTAAAGCTGAGATGGCTCAGAACAGGGATGCTCAAACTATGTGGTCCAGGGACCTTTGTTTCCTCCACCTCTGCCCCTTCCAGAGACCACACTAAATAAAATCACAATGCAAATTTTAAAGTGCTGCCACAGAGTGGAAATTCGTATAAGGATAGAGTTTCAATGTTCTTATATTACAAATGTGTCTTCTTCTAAATCCAAGACAATAGTTCAGTACCCATGACCCAGCTAGAGTAGGATTTAACAGTGCCATAAGGCTGATCAAGAAGCTCTGGTGGTGTAGTAGAGAATGCATTTGGCTGCTAACAAGGTCAGCAGTGCATAACCCACCCGCCACTCTGCAGAAGGAAGACAGGTGATCTACTTCTGTAAAGATTTACAGCCTTGAAAACCCAATGGGGGTCTCTACTTAATGGAATCGACTTGATGGCAGTGAGTTTGGTCTTTTTTCAATAAGGCTGATCACTTTATAGTTAGCTCAATCTGAGCCCTACATCTCTCTCCATTTCTCCATTTACTTCCTTCTACTGTTTTTAGCCTGTGTCTCTCCCCGTTAGACAATCAGCAACTTAGAGGGACCAACTCTTAAAGTTTGCTTTCTTTTGTTTTTCATCTCTATTGTTTCCAGTACACAACACCATGTTACATATAATACCCTAAATAGGCTCATGGCATAACTATATGATTTTGTGAACCCTGACTTTCCAAAGTCAGTAGAGTTTCTAAGTTCCCCCTTAGGGGAATTTCCTGAGGCCCTGCCAGTGCCACCTGCTGAGTGCTTTCTATGTACCAGGCACTGCTCTAAGAGTTTTGTGCATATTAAATAATTTGTTCCTTACATCAACCTTATGTGACAGGCAACATTTTTTATTCCCACTTTTACAGATGAAGAAACTAAGAAACCAAAGATAAAAATCTATGGGAACTTAAACCTCTGCACCTCCCTAGTTACATTAGCGACATTATAGCCCTCAGAGTGAAATGTAAACATCTTAGCTGCTGACTAACTTTAGAAAGGACTTGATTCTGATCTTGAGTTGGCAGTACTTTTTCAGAAAGGAGGAGTCAAAACTACCATATGACAAAATTCAAACCC